TTTCTCGAGCTGGAAGCTGAGGCACAGTAGGATATAATTCGTAAAGGAAATGCTCGTGAGTAGTATGCTTCATGAGCCAGGCTGGGTTTCGCGTTACAGGCATGATTGTCTATTGCGCCCCCTTGCCCTATATGGCTCATCAAGTAGGTGATTACTTCTCCATTCGGGGATTCGCTGCTACCCAAAAAAGTCCTCGCGTGCCGATGCAATGGCGCCAGAGTTTTCACGTCTCCTTGATTGCCTACGTGAACCCAACTATCCTCAGGTGCAGTTCCGTCTTTTTGTATGCAGTCGTGGTTGGCCAGAGACCAGGTTGATTTGCGAGTGTGGCTGCTTCTCTAATACTATCAATAGTGATTACATGGCAAGAGGGTGTGCTTTGATCTGGCCCTGAGGCTGATCAAAGCCCACGTGCCGGAGCGGCCGTGGGATTTCATCTTAATTCACATTCCAACACGACTCGATGTATAGTCGGCGTATAGTTGGGGCCGCACGCATGCGGTCAGGAGATGACCAGCCACGCCTTCGGCAATTCGTAAGGGGCGATAATAGCCTTGGTGCCTGCAAGTTAGCAACTTTGTCCAACCCCACAAGAGTGTGGCCCGCTTTATACGCATTAAGCTGACTCATGCTGTTCACACCCTAGTTCCCTACAAGTGTATGGGAGGCTCGGTTTATCATTTTAACGTCAAGTCTTAAGGCCTGTTTATAGCGAAGTGCGGGAAGCCGGACGTGTGATACCCAGCTAGGCACGATGAATGCGGGCAGACTGGCTCAGTCTGGTAGCCGAGCCTAGGGAATTTAGTCAAATCGAAGTTTAAACAGTCAAAACAGTGGGTATTATCTGGTCCCCCGTGAGGGCTGTTGGCTGCAAGTTGGCGACATAGCCGCGATGTTGGGATTTACTGAGATTTGTGTTGATACATGCACCCTTACCTGCTTTGATCTCACATGAGAGAAAAGTACCTAGTTGATGTGTGTAAGAAAAACAGTATAAAAAACCAAGTATGAACTAGATGATTACTGTTACATGTCTCATTCGTTCTCATTACGTGCAGTCGTCTAGATTTTGCGTAGTATTTGAAATAGGAATTTATTGTATAAACGGAGACCGTACATTAAACTGAGAAAGATAGTGGTTTGCCGATTATTTATAACGTAGCTCATACGAACATCCAAAGGTCACTACCTGAATAGGGTTGGGTTTATTTTTATGATGTTTTCATCTTAAATTGTTTTCCTCAGCCATCGTTTCATATTTTTAATTTAAAGTCCAGACGATCGCTTGAAATTAGTAGAAGTGAGACCTAAACTTGGTCACGTAATTACTATAATTATCTTTAAGAACATCAGCCAGATTCATTACTTGACAAATTTGTTGTTCAGAGTAACATTCATGTTGCACATG